GCTGGATGCACCCAAGACATATATACATATATAATTATAATCTCCGCTATCTTTTGGTGCTGATGCACCACCCAAAACATATATATTATTTTCTTTAACTTTCGGTGCTGGATGCACCCCCCCACTTCTCTTTTCTTTCTTCCTCCTGTGTTGTGCATCCAGCAAACTTCCATCATTATCTTCCTTTTTTTTCTTTTTTTGTCCACGTGGTGCCAGCACCACTTTGCTCCACCATCGCCCTTTTTTTATTAAATATTTTTTCTGTATAAATTTAGGTGATGGGTAAAGGAATTTGCAGGGAGCGGAGCAAGAAGGCCGAGAAGATGGTGCTTCGAGCTTCACGACCGGCTAGTAGTTTGACGGCGGTCGTTGAAGTTCTTTGCTATCATGGTGGTCATAGTGACGAGCTCGAGGGAGGCCAGGCGCTGCGGTGGAAGATGAGCAGAGATGCATGATGATCCTTTATAATAATTTTTTTTTTTCGACTAACACCTTCTCTTTCTTCCCCACATGGTGTTTGGCGATGGGCAGAAGATGGAGCAGAGCTTCGGAGCACCGGTGCCAACGCTTAGGAGCTGGGTTCCTCGCTGGGCTTAGGCGTTGCACAACAGAGAAAGTGTTCAAATGATGCATTGCCGTTGCTGTTTGTTACGCTCTCTACACGAAGGCTGCTACAAGGCTGGATTTGTGGGTGAAAACCTAGGCCGAGTCCGAGAGACAGAGGTGCAGATACAGTGGAGGATCTTCAACAACCATGTAGGGTCTGGCCTTGATGATGAAGACGAGAAGGATAAGGGTGACCTTGATGTCGGATCCAGCTAGGAGACGAAGGCAGCAGCGATACCCAACAAAGGATGGAGAGAGCAGCTGGAGCTTGAGGTCATTGCAAGGCGTGTGCATCCGTCAATGCTGCTGCTGGTTCTCAACCTGCAGGTCTAGGTGGCTATGAGGCACGGGTGGAAGCCATGCATACCTTCGATGATGAGAGAGAGAAGAAGATTGGCTATGGAGATGGAGAGCTGTTGAACTGCCGTTGATGCTCACTATAAGGGACATCGTTTGTTGCGAAGGGGAGTGCCGCTCATTGTTGATGGGCTCGCCATGTTTCTTACTTCTGATGCCCTCATTTTGCACCATAACTAGTTCGGTTAGCTCGACTCCGACGACGACAGAGTAAACAGCAGCTCGAACTTTGATTGCCTAGGAGGATAAGGACAGACAGAGAGCATGAATGGGGGAGAACAATCACGGCAGAGAAGAGGAAGAAGGAGAGTGTGCACGGCGAGCGTGGTAGAGTCTTGAAGAAGCGTCACCGAGCAAGGCAGGCATCAAAGTCCACCTTGTTACGGTTGAAGAAATAGGCGATGTGCTGCAACCCTATCGAGAAGTTCATCCATCCGGCTAGAGATTCCCTCATCGTTGCACCACACTTGGCAACCTTGAGGCTCATGTTCAGACACCTCTTGAATCAACATTGCAGGATGCCCATCCAATGACGCCGTAGCTGAGTCACTCGCTGAGTCGAGATTCAGCGAGTTCTTGAGCGACGAGATGGCCTCAGACACGTTCCAGCTCAGCCTCTGCAGCTTCTTCTGCACCGCGAATGACTTTTTGACTTCAGCGCTAAGCGAGACCGTTGCAGCAAAGACAGCAAGCATGGTTGCTGCTGCAATTGGTGGAGGCGTTGATGGCGAGTTGAGGAAGAAAAGACGAGCCTGGTGTAGCTTTTGGGGACTTGACTTCGAGGCGTGGCTCGTGAGGAAATGGGACAGTGTGAGCTGCTGGGCCGCACTGTGGGCCGAGGAGAAATGGGGAAGAAGACAAGCTGGAGTTTGGGCCAGTTGTGGCTTGAGCCCTTTTGCTGCTGGGTCGAGACACTAATGAGGATGGGTCGCTGACAAGGGCCCGGCTTTTGAGTTATGTATATGCATATATATAACATATATATATATATATATAATACTTGTATATTCCTTTTCTTTTTCTTTTTTTTGTTTTGTAAATACATAATAACATATGTATTCATTTTTTTGTAATAAAATTGACTCTATTTAATAACACACTTATTTTTTTATTTTGATGTGACTGAACTTGAAATTGAATATTCAAGCTGCCTACATACCCTTCCAAAGAAAGAGATCAAGTCAAAACGTAGTTCAAATACATTTTATTTTTTGGTATTTTCTTTTGGTGCCACTCGCAGTTTTAACTCGTGCAGGCAAGGAGCGCTTGTTGGTGTCACCTTTTATGCTCGTGCAAACAATGAGCATTGTGCCGTGTTGCAATTTCAGCTCATGCAAGCAAGGAGCATTGGTGTTGCCTTTTATGCTCGTGCAGACCAGGAGCATTGGTGTCCCGTAGTTTAGGCTCGTGCGGACGAGGAGCGTTGTGCCATGCAGTTTAGGCTCGTGCAGGCGAGGAGCCTTGGTGTTGCCTTTTATGCTCATGCAAACCAGGAGCTTTGTGTCATGCAGTTTAGACTCGTGCGGGCGAAGAGAATTGTGAATTTGTCAAACGATCTTGGAGAGGCATTCCTTGCAATCTTCATAGCAAGGTGTCTTGATTGAGTGTTTGAAGAAGTCTTCGAGGAAGAAATCACGCATCGTGATGGGGACGGACGATCTTTGTGTTGAAATTTCATCATTTTTAACAATTTCCCGTTGCTTTTGAGGTTGACAAAAGCTGCTTTGCCCCCTTTTCGGTTGGCAAAGTTGTGGAGGAGATGTAGGCTTCATGTGTAATTTCTTCGGAGTGACATGAATCCATCCTTCAACTTCGCTTGACTCGGAGCATACCCCCAACGGTTGAGGTGAAAACTTTGAGTCGGAAGAGCCAGAAGTGATGGTGGTATAGTTTGACTTCACTGTATCATCAAGATCTAGCTCGATGATTCCTTTCTAAGCCAGCTTCATGATAAGATCTTTCAGCACGAAGTACTTTTCTGTCGGATGACTGATGAAGCGGTGGAATTTACAGTATCTTGGACTATTGGTGCGATTCATCACTTCTGGCTGTCTGCACTCAGGCAAACCGATCACCTTCTTTTCCAGCAAGTCTTCTAACATGGCAACCACATCAGAGTCGGGGAATGGATAAGTCTTCTCCTCAAGCTCCTTTAAAGTGCGTTTACGCATCTCTTGATCACGAAAAGCTTCGGCTTGAATTGCCTCGCCTCGTGTAGGGATTTTGACGGGAGCTGTGTTGACCGTCATTGCTTCCTTGGTGGATTTCCACGCTGCCTTCTCCACCTTTGTCCTAAGAACTTTGTCGTTCTTGTAGTCGACGATCGGTTCTTTCTTCCCATGATGGACGATGCTCAACTCCATGTCATGGGCGCGGGTGGCTAACTCCTCAAAGGTCCGTGGTTTGATGCCTTGAAGGATGTAGTGTAACCCCACTGCATGCCTTGAACACACATGTTTGATGGTTGGATCGTTGAAACTAGTTTCGTAGAATGTGTATCCCATCAAAACAATAGATTCACTAACACTTAAGAGTTTATTCATACTTTCATCAAGTATAACATAAGATTTTGTGGTATCCACTAGTGTAAATATTTTAAATTGAAGATCGAATTCATTCATTGTATTTATATAGGGTCAAGGAGTGTAGCTGTAAAAAATCATCAAAATTGGAGTTAAAATAATCGTTAAATCGTGATTTTTCGTTTATAACCGTCGAAAAGTTTTGTCTCATTACTTGATCTCTAAATGTTTGTTTTTTTGCAATTTTTGGCGTATGCGATCTCGAAGTATATACAAACAAGTTTGACGGTTGGATCGTTGAAACTAGTTTCACAAAATGCGTATTTCATCAAAACAATATATTCACTAACACTTAAGAGTTTATTAATATTTTCATTAAGTATAACATAATATTTTGTGGTATCCACTAGTGTAAATATTTTAAATTGAAGATCAAATTCATTCATTGTATTCGTATAGGGTCAAGGACTGTAGTTCTAAAAAATTATCAAAATCAGAGTTAAAATAACCGTTAAATAGTGATTTTTCCTTTATAACCGTTGAAACGTTTTGTCCTGTTACTTGATCTCTGAATGTTTGTTTTTTGCAATTTTTGGCGTATGCGATCTCGAAGTATATACAAATATGTTTGACGGTTGGATCGTTGAAACTGGTTTCGTATAATGCATATCCCATCAAAACAATAGATTCACTAATACTTAAGAGTTTATTCATACTTTCATCAAGTATAACATAAGATTTTGTGGTATCCACTAGTGTAAATATTTTAAATTGAAGATTGAATTCATTCATTGTATTCATATAGGGTCAAGGAGTGTAGATGTAAAAAATCATCAAAATCGAAGTTAAAATAACCGTTAAATCGTGATTTTTCGTTTATAATCGTCGAAAAGTTTTGTCTCGTTACTTGATATGTGAATGTTTGTTTTTTGTAATTTTTTACAGATGCGATCTCGAAGCATATACAAACAAGTTTGACGGTTGGATCGTTGAAATTAATTTCGTATAATTCGTATCCCATAAAGTTCAATGGTGTGTGTGTGTGTGTATATTTATTTATTAAGTAGATTTAAATCTATTTATTTTGTATGTATAATTATTATAGTTTTTAGGGGTATAAAATTTAATTTAAAATTTAATATATATATATATATATATATATATATAACTAGTACAGTTAATATTTTGGGGGTATACTTATTAGAGTTAATTTAATATATATATATATATATATAATTATTATAGTTTTTAGGGGTATAAAATTGTTAAATTAATATATATAATTATTATAGTATTTTTTTAGGGTTATAAAATTATTAAATTAATATTTTGCTTATCGTGTATCGTGTTACCCATGTGTATACCTGAACTAACTCGTTATCTTAACAGGTGCTTATCGGGTTACCCGATAACAACCCGTTTTGTTATCGTGTCGACCCGAACACCTGTTAATTTTATGTCGTGTCATATCGGGTTATCGGATCGTGTCAGGAATTGCGATGCCTGACCCAAATACAAAAACGTGAACAAAACCCTAACACTTTCTCGTCAAGCTCGACTCTACCACTGAAGCCCCTCCTCTCTCTCTGTCTCCAATGGCTGTGAGTGTTTTCTTCTGCATCTATTTTTCTCCATCACGTATGAATATTCTTAAATTACTATGCATAATTTATTTTCTTGTGACTATTTTTTTGGGGTGCTATTCCATGTTTCTGAGTTTTCCAATTTCTCCATAAAATTGAATGCAAGTTTTCTGAAAGGTTCGTTTTGCAACCAAATTTTGTTCCTTTGGAGATTTTAGTTTTAGGAGAAATTTGGTTTGTTAATTAGTACTTGTGAGATATGGATGTATGTATGTTTCAATTCATGATGTTTTATTTATGGTAGATTATTAAACAGTGTGGAAGTAGAGTAAATTGCACGAAAATATGGTTGCAATCTGTCCCATGTTTAATTAGATTCACTTGTTGAACATAAAGGCGTGTTCTGGATGTTGATTACTTTGTTTATGTTCATAATGCAGACAATACCAGTTAACCCGAAGCCGTTCCTGAATAATCTGACTGGTAAGACTGTCATTGTGAAACTTAAATGGGGAATGGAGTACAAAGGTATGTTGCTTACGGTTATGGAAAAGTATTGGATACTTGTGCCGTGTTTTCTTTTGTTTCCTCGTGCAGTTAACTTTATTTAACGCAAGCTTAGTGTATCCCTAATCCTGATTTCAAGCCTCTGCTCAGGTTTTCTTGTCTCGACAGATGCCTATATGAACTTGCAGGTACTATTATAAACTTCAACTCTTTATGTTTACATATTCCGAGTACATACCTTTAGCTTGTTTTTGCTTCTTTCTTTGCTTTTTATTTGTGAGATAGAAGTTTGAAGCTGATATGTGTTTAATATTGAAATCTTATATGTATAGTTGGCAAACACTGAAGAATATATTGATGGACAATCTACTGGAAACCTTGGAGAGATTTTGATCAGGTGAGTTCATTTGAATGCTTTAATCTTCGTATCTGTACTCTTCCCTGGAATCTATGGTTTGAATGTGCTTTGTATTTTGTTTTTGCTAGATTTGTAGCATATGGTATGACTTCTTTTTCCTAGAAAGCATATATGATATGTAATGTATAGGAACCACAAATGACATAGGGAGTGTGACGGGCACAGTGATCAGTCCCTAACTGAATGGAGGCAATTGATGCCTGACCCTGTACATTCCAAAAGTTAACGTCGTGTATCGATTACTGTTAATGTTGATGGTCCTCCCAGCTTTTGTTGGGAACTACTCCGTTGATGGTGGTGTCATATCCTATCACCTTGTGGAGCAGTGTCACTGCTTTTACCATTTGGGATTGGCCATGAGACCAACATTTAGCATACAGAGTAACTACGAAGCTTCCCATGGATTTGGTCAACAATTTACGAATCTCTCTGAACGAAGTTTGATGGGGGACATTGATCAGTCCGTAACTGAATGGAGCAGGCAATCAATGCTTGTACATTCCCAAAGTTAACGCCACATATCAAGTACTGTTAACGTTGATGGTGCTCCAAGATCTTGTTGGGGCACCTCCTTTGACGTTGGTGTCATATCATATCGCCTTGTGGAGCAGTGCCACTGCCTTTACCATTTGGGATTGGCCATGAGACCGACATTTTGTTTTATAATTTTACAAATAACATATGGAGTAACTTTGAAGCTTCCGTTGGATTTGGTCAACAATGTGTCAGAGGAGTGTCTAGTTTATTATGAGTCATACGAATCTTTCTGAACGAAATGTGATGGGGGACATTGATCGGTCCCTAACTGGACGCAGCAGTCAATCAATGCTTGTACATTCCAAAAGCTAACGTCGCATATCAAGTAATGTTAACATTGATGGTGCTCCCTGATCTTGTTGGGGGCTCCTCGTTTGATGTTGGTGTCATGTCCTATTGCCTTGTGGAGCAGTGTCACTGCTTTTACCATCTGGGATCGGCCATGAGACCAACTTTTTGTTTCCTAATTTTACAAATAATGTGTGGTGTATCTTTGAAGCTTCCCATGGATTTGGTCAACAATGTATCAAAGGAGTGTCTAGTTTATTATGAGTCATACAAATCTCTCTCGTAACGAAATTTGATGGGGGACAATGATCAGTCCCTAACTGAATGGACCGGGCAATCAGTGCTCATACGTTCCAAAAGTTTAACTTCGCATATCAAGTACTGTTAACATTGACTGTGGAGCAGTGTCACAGCCTTTACCATTTGGGATCGGCCATGAGAAGAACATTTTGTTTTCTTGTTCTACAAATAACATATGGAGTAATTTTGAAGCTTCCGCTGGATTTGGTCAGCTACATAGTAGAGGAGTGTCTAGTCTATTTTGCACTTATATCTACATTGAAAGGCTGCAATAATAATCATACGAATCTCTTTCTCTCTCTCTTCCCCCACCTCACCCCTATATTTTTTCTCCTCTCTTTGTAGAACATAGTACGTAGTTACCAGTCCCATTTTAACTCTGTGTACCTTTGCTTTTCTTATCATGGTGTTCAAATTTCAATAGAGAATGTTCTATCTAGAGTACGTAAAATTTTACTTTCAAACGAAGAGGAAGGGTATACTGAGATAATTCTGAACACCCTTGAGTAAGAAAGTTGGGAACATAGGCCTTGAGTAAGAAAGTTGGGAACATAGGATGAAAGGAGATAATACAAAGTGGAGTGTTAATTTGATGGGAGTGCGTTCGAATAGAAGGTTGAGACTAGAGATATCCATCTGGAGTAGAAGCCTAATATTTGTTGATTCAGAAATTCCATTCGGTCATTCTCCTTGGGCATGTATACATTCCCTCTGCGTATTGGATATCTCTAATTCTTCCTTTTTGTAACGTAGGATTTTAGTGAGATTTGTAAAAAACTGCCATGTAGTAAAGGATGATAGATCATTCAAGCTCTCAATTTTATAGTCTATACAACCTGTTTCCTAGCGAAGATAGGGGATGGGTACACATGATAAGCACAATGCACGTACATTCCAATACCTTAGTTTTCAACGAGTAAATGATCTTTTCATGTTTCCTTGTGCAGATGCAATAATGTTCTGTATCTTCGTGGGGTACCAGAGGATGAAGAAATTGAAGATGCTGAACGGGAATGAGATGTGGACTTTGCAGCAGTGATCTTGCTTGAAAAACAGTACTCGAGGAACCAGTATTTTATCTCTACTTACGCTGTTGCATTTCTTGTTTTAACCTGGAGTGGTTGGGTTGTATTTGTATTGTATGTTAAATCGACATGCCCGTGCTATTTAAAAGGTTTGTAGCTGACAAATGGTTCTCAAACTTGAATGCGACTGTAACAAACCATATGATTTGAAATGAAACCATTTTAGTTATTCACTGCGACAAAATTGGCGCATAATTTTGCAGGATCTTCGTTTTAAGTTTCATCGACTCTGTCGATGAATTGCGTTCTAAAACGAATTTATAGTGGCAAGACAGTTGAGACAGCCTGAGTAGTAGCACGTTGACTACATTGTCCTTGATCATACGTAGTTTCATTTCTTTTTCGCAGCTTCCTATGTGATTGTGACGTATCTAATGTTCTGCTGTATCCGACTCCTTGGGCAAGTTTGTAAGTGAATGATGCTCAATATGTGAATTCAAAGTATCTACGTCCTTGTTGTTCCAAAGAGGATTGAATGCTTGATGCAAGTGGTGGATTGGTCTGGTGGCTAGGTTTTTCTCTTCAATTCACTGTGTTCCGGCCATGTTCAAACTCACCCCCTCCGCCTCCTCTAGAGAGTGCTCGTTTCATATAATTGATTGAATAGGATGATATATTGAATGTAAATGAGATTGAATTTTCATTTTGGAAGAATTAGAAGCGGCTAGACATGAAGAAAATTTCTCCCTTTTAATTCTCCCATTTTGGGGAGGATTGTTTTGATAACTTTTGTTCTTCAGTAATCCTTCTTGTACATCTATGTTGGCCACAATATTCTTTCAATTTACCCTAAAAACAGTGTTTTATCCATTCCAGTCTAATCATGCATACCAAACAAGGTATCAACTTGGCTCCTCAATGGTTCCCCAATTCACCATGTAGCCAATTTAAGGAACTTCATGCTTATGATCGGGATCGTTCATTTTATCAAACACTTTGTAAAGATAATAATTTCTAGAAAAAAAAATCAATAAATATTATGAAACCATTTAGTTATCGAACTATATAAAAACAGATAGACGGATTCTATAAAAGTATTAATAATTGTCTATCTCTTTGCCACAATTGATTGACTAAATAACCTTAGTTTTAATTGGTTTTTTATTTTTATTTTTGGGTAAAGATGATCTTTACGAAAGGATCTATAATATGAACAATTTCGGTTATGAGCAAGAAATTTCGTGAATCAGTCACTAAGTGAATTGAGGAGCCAAGCATTGCTCACCAAACAAGGCCTTAATAGAGTAAATAAAGATGATCAAAAGTATAGGATATGTTTCTTTAAATCTCACCGTTTATTTTACGCTGCATTAAATACCACAAGCGTCGGTCACTAGCATTCACCTTTACAACAAACACTTGAACTCCCATCATTCCAGCTTCCTCTCAAAGTCAAAACTCATCTGCCCTTCCAATTTTATTTGGTGGTGCTTCACTTGGAACTCCGAAGACCATCTAAACATCATAGAAACGTCATCATCAAATAAAAGAAAATGTCCGCATCTCTGTCCACCCTACCCCAATTGCTAACGCTAATGTCAATCGTCTGCTCGTGTGCGGTCATTCCTAACCGTTAATGCGTATTGCCGGCCGTAACACTGCCATTCCAATAATTTGAAGTTGGCGCCGGCCTGAAACTTGTGGTCCGAGTAAAGTGCCAAGACATGATCCTCACGTGTCCAAGTAAATTTGACAACTGAAAATTACTTAAACAAGACAAATTGCGTGGTCCTATATTTGCTGAATTTTGTTTTTCTTTTCTTTCTCTTCTTGTGGTGGTAGAAAGATGTCACCAATAACAGATTCTAGAGAAAATTGTAACAATGGTCCATCAAATTTAACTCAATTAGAGTAATAGTTTATCAACTAAAAATCCATGACCATTGGTCCCTTTACTCATCAAAACCTATAGATATGACCCTTTTCATGAACTCCGTTAAAACTTCCGTCAAAATGAGACACGTGCCACGCATGTGAGTTTGAATGAAGTGGCAAATATAGAAAACCAAATGAAAAGAAAAATTGTAGCAATGGTCCCTCAACTTTAACCCAATTAGAGAAATGGTTCCTAACTTTAACTTAATTGGAGCAATGGTCCCTCAACTTTACCCTCCTGTAGCAATGATCATTCCAACATGAGTTATTGTAATAGAATTATGATGAAGTTGACCAAAATGGTTATAGCTACATGTTTTGATGAGTTAAGAGACCCATGGTCATGGATTTTTAGTTGAGGGACCGTTGCTACAATTTTCTCAAAGATTCTAACTTGTTTTTCACTGTGGCTACAATATCTTGTAATTTTAAGTGCAGCTTAACGGAGTAAATGAAAGGATCTGGTTCTTTAAATCTCACTCGTTTTATTTTATGCTGCACTGAACGTAACGTGGCATTGTAGGTTTTCTGCTTGTATAGAACTGTGAACATCACATTTGAATTGCCTTTTTTCTTTTTTAATTTATTTAGCTGCTGAAGTTCAAATTGTTATATTATTTGCCTAAAAGATTGTTGACTTATTTATGTTCAATGGCAATCGCGGCAGCCGGAATCTTATATTCTTAAGTAATTAGTCCAAATTATCAAAGAAAAATAAATGATTTGTCAAAATTTTCTGCATCTTAGTCCAAATTAGGCTGCTATTTCCCCCCCCCCCCCTTTTTTTTTTTTTTTTGAATTTGGCCAAAAGGTACTTCACCATTTCTTTACTTGCAATTATTGAGATGTACGTCATCAGCTACGCAAGAATGTAAGTTGTATTATTTTAGTTTCAAGTTTGTGATCCTAGATTGGGACAGCTATTTATTTAGTTAACCAAATTCTACACCCATTATGTATTTCTTAAGAAAACTTGTTAAATACGACTAACCCAAGTTCAATCCGTTGATTAAGAATATTCACTTTTAAAGCCAAGATCCTGAATTCAATTCTTAGTTCTTTTCGTATTGTTTGTATTAAAAAAAAAACACAAATAACCCAATTTGAAACTGCAAAGCTTGAATATATGAAAAGAAAAATAGATTCAGTTAAATTTGACTAGTATTTGGGACGAACATGAAATTACAAAAGAGTGCGGTATTGCATTTTTTAAATCGCCAATAACAACTTCGTTTTTTCCTTCCAAAATTGCTACTCTTTAAAATAAATAAAATTGTAAGTAGCCCTTTACTACAATGGTAGAAGGGTGTTGAGCTCATGTATAACGACGTGGGTTCAAATCCTGTCGGTGGCTAATCTAACATCTAATTTAACAAAATTTATCATTTGACCAAAAAAAAAATATATATATATATATTATAAATGAAATTAGTTGGTTTATTTTCCTTTAACCCCGCTGTCTCTTACAATGCTATTTGTCTATCCACAATACATACACTGTGTGGTCCGTCAATAGTTGAATTCTGCGTATAAGGATCTAATGAATTTTTGCAACCGTTAGATCTTACATAAAAAGAAGAGATTATAACTTGTACTCAACATAGATATTACAAATAAGAATGAAACAACATTTGACCGTCATTTGAACCTACTTATGCTCCTGTTTGAAATATTGATATCGGTGAAAATAGCGATGAGCAAATTTATGAAAATATCAATAGATATATAGGTATCGGTGCTTCAATGAAAATGATAAAAATTTGCTTAAAAGCGTGAAAATTTAAAAAGAAATGTTAGAGAATGTCATATCAAATCATAATATATTTATTAATCAATAATTAATGATTAAATACTATATAATATGTCCATCTTGTGTGCAAATACGAAACTCAAAAGCGTGAAAATTTAAAAAGAAACGTTAGAGAATGTTGTTTGTACCATACTTGACCAATTCCGAAACTACTGAGCACCGATCAACGTTATACCGTCAAGGACCAGAAGAGTTTCCCTCCAACCATGAGGCCAATCACAGCGCGACATGTGTCGACATAAAAAACCAATCATAGCGTGACACGTGTCAACATTTGAAGCCAATCATAACACTACACGTGTTAATGTCAAAATGAAACTAGAAATCATTCACTAGTACTCACTAAAGGAGAGCTTGAACCTATGTACTTGTGTAAACCCTTCACAATTAATGAGAACTCCTCTACTTCGTGGACGTAGCTAATCTGGGCGAACCACGTACATCTTGTGTTTGTTTCCCTGTCCCTATCCATTTACATACCTATTCACACTAGTGACCGGAGCAATCTAGTGAAGGTCACAAACTTAACATTTTCTGTTGTACCAAAGTCCTCACTGATTTTGTGCATCAACATTTGGCGCCGTCTGTGGGAACGACACTTATTCCCACTCTCTTCAGCTTTGCCAAGCTGGTTTCCACCATTCGTACTACCATGCATCCCTCTCCAACATAGGGAGCGAAGGAAGCCACAACACACATAATGACACCCCTCTTGCACCTAGTGCGAAGCAACGAAAGAAGGAAGAAAAAAGGGTTGCTTTTCAAACGAAAGTCAATGAGCTAGAAGCTCAGAACAACAAGATAGCAATGAAGAATGAGGTCCTCCAGGAGCAGTATGAGAAACTCTTTCAGACGCTCCATGAAATTAGGCGTACTCAAACACGCAAGCTCGTTGCCCCTGTGGACATCAACCATCATCTGGGTACCCCCCAACACGGAGGATCACCTCTTTTTGACATGGGTATCCCTGATGAGGAGCGAGCTAATCATCAAAACATTGATCAACATGAGACTTCTCTCAACCCAGATGCTTTGACCCGAAGCAGGAAAAGTGGAGGAAAACACCTTCTTGTAGAAAGGTTGAAAGGATCAAAAGCCGTTTATCGTGATTGCCGAGACTTCCTAAAGCAACGTCGAGAGAATCCCTTCCACATATGCTCGAAGATCAATGACCCAAGGGTTTTTGAAAGACTCGGTCCCCTCCCACGACCCAGGCCCACTGCCAATCTAGGGAAGGAACAACAGGTCCCAGAGGAACATGAAAGTACAGAGGACTCTGAGGTATTCCGACAGACTCGCCCTAGAAGTCAGTACGGCGAGTCCAAGAAAAAACCACGTGCCCTTGCTTAAACTTTCCTACTTCCAAGAGGCGATGGAGACTTACGAAAGAAAATTCCAGTGATACATGGCTCCACTCAGGACCCCCTTGTCCTACAGTTCCTTGAAGAAGTAAACAAGTTGAAGGCCGAACGTCTGTTGGAAATATGCCCTGAAAGTCAATCTTTGGAAG